CTTCTTCTTCTTCTTCTTCTCCCCCTTCTTCTTCTTCTTCTTCTTGCTCTTCATTCTACAGTCGCACACCCCTTAAAACCGCGGTCGAAGACGACTGAGAGTTCAGTAGTTTTCTTTGCCGCTCTCACCGGCATTTAGTGTCAGCGGTGTCCGTAGTGGCGGACAAGGAAGCCTTCAGGCACAAGTGCGTGAGCTGATCATTAGTTGGCTAACCTTCCAATAATGCATGATTCTTCTCTTCCAAGGGGATATCGTTACACTGCATCTCCTGAAAGTCGCATGTGTCGTTGTTATGGAGACTGATGTGTCAATTTACCACGCGGTCCTGATTTACCCGCGTCCCGATTCTAGGACTAGAAGTCCGAATATGCAGCAGACACCCGCTCCGTACCGATGGGGACTGCAGACTGCCAGTTCTTGGTTAAAAATGGAGAAGAATGCTCGCGCATTCCAGTATTTACTATAAACCGACACCAACCAGTTCAGTGGCTTGGATAACTTACGACTCACTGACATCATTGACTCAAAATTACGAGACAGGAATCATCTTTGCCACATTTTGTGTCCTCGAACACAAGCATACTTTGACAATACTTGGTCCGACACCAATAATTCATTAATACAACTTCCGTGGAAAAGGTCTCATACGTCGGGCCGAGCGTTGATGCGCGGACCAAATAATCACACTGTGACGTATCCTTTAAACTCCGCCATGAATACCAGCCACCGACGGCCGTCTGCTTTGTTTACTTCAGCGCAGCACTCAAATCCGTTAATGTTGACTGCCTCTGACGGATGAGGGGGCAGTCTCAAATAGAACTGGTGAGGCTGCTGAAGAATTAACAGCAGATAAACATGTCCCTTCACGAAAAGGTGGTGCTCGCAAGTTCAAACAATCCTAAGAATGTGTTTATGGCCCCTTAACTATATGCCCATGGCCAAAAAGACTACACCCGTTACCTGCATGAAAAATAATCAAGAACTTTTGGTGTTCTACTATCGCTGTCTGAGGGTTACCCTACGGGTGAAGTGCACAGACTTCATCTCAAGTGAGATGGTTCGCACTCGCTGCAACATCAGGTCACCTGAGGAAGACGACCCAAGTGGTTGAACACGCTCATCAACATCGGCTTCATGATGGCAGTATTGCTGCCCTTGAGCTGGCGTCGGTGCCAACTTCGAGGCGTCAAACAGGAGATCAACAGCAGTCACCAAAACAATAAGGATGTTCTTCGACCTTGCGCATTAGGTTTCCAACGCCGAAAAAGGTACTGGATCAAGCTTTCCAAATTTACTGTCGCAGATGGTCAGGTGTGCAACCCCGCATGATCAGCCAAGATAACGGCTGAATCAAGTACAATTAAGTAAGTACTACTGCTGAATTAACTATGCATTCCGCTAACGATCGACGGACTGAATTCTGTTATATCCTCTTTTTCTGGGTTATTGGCGGCAATCGACTCGAGAAGACGCAGGGCATCAGATCTTCTGACAAGCAAAATGAAATGTAGACCGTATTCGAGTCCTAATTTCAAACTTGCAACATTTAGTTTAAAACGATAAACCGTGAGAGAGGAAGACGAAGGACGGTTTGATGCTGCAAGGTTAAAACGACATAAAATACCCCCATTGCCTTGACGACACTTCATCAACTTTAAAGCACCACTACGAATAGACAAACGCAGTGGTCTTCGGTACACCCTATTCACGAATTACTTTTCGCACAAATTCTCAAAGACTGTGTCGATTTAGCTAATGAGTCAATACAGTTCAAGAGATAATAAGTTCTGTGATTAAAACTAGCTGAGCGGATGTTATAGATGCTCAAAGGGAAGGGTGTATGGCCTCCTCTCGCCGAAATTGAAATTTAACCTTAGAATAGAATAATAAGCTTCCATTTCCAGTATACAATCCATATGGTCTGAGTGGCTCCCTTTCTAACCTATTACTAACCCATTACTTTCTCAATTTTTCATTAACGCGCTGTTTTCTTGATTTCTACCATTCGGCGTTCACTCTCGGTATAATTACTCATGGAAATCCCTTTTAGTTACTACACTAATTATAATCATATTAGATTCCTTGAACCACTATGAGGACATGAACACAGAACAATGTCGCAAAATATGGACAGGCAGAACATTCAATGCAGACATATCAAAGTTTAAAATAGGTGAACGCGTGTGGGAATGGGGTCATATAATTGGCAGTGTGAGGTTAATCACGTGATCCAGCTGCTTATGAAGAGAAAAACACTAAAATAATTAATATGTACGTTATCGTAAGATATGTCGAAATTTAGTCAATGAACGTCAATGAACTACACATTATGAACACGAAATCACCCTCAGTAGTATAACATGTCAGTAGAGCTGTTTGGGAGTGCAAATAATATCGTTCGGCAGGCCAAATATTTAGCTAACTTCAGTTACATAAATGCGTTGGCTCATCTTCTAAATACATTACCAGTCCCTAAAAAAGAAACTCTAACTTAAAAACGCCTCCCATTTCGGGGTAAACTTCTACTACCTATTTATTACCATTTAGAGGTCGGTTTGTGTGTTTGATTCTCTTCAATGCATCCGGGCTAGATCACATGAATATTTTAATAGAAATTGCTGACATTATGAACCCAGGTACGACTTACGAAAATAGCTAGTATTTATCCTCTCAAACAGTTCTCATTTCTATCAGGCAAGGTATACTAAATCAAAGAAATCAGTCTAGAGTTCTAGTTTAAATGCTGGTCCTCCCAATCTTTGCCTCCGAATAATTAGCGAAGAATTACCTTCCAGACCTCTTCAAGACGAGGTCGCCTTGAGAAAAGGGGTGGATAAGCAATAGCAGCAAATGCATTCCGTGCGGGATCCCCCACTGGTACACGCCCGTGAAGTCAGAGCCGAGCAGGGGTATCGAGCTCCTGACAAAGCCCCTTCACAGTCACATGTGGTAAATCGAATTGGCTACCTGTCATGCTTGGCCTCTCTTGTGAATGCAGAATTCGCACAAGTGGTGACTGCATGACTCAGTCCCACCATGGCGTAGAAGGCCGTCTTCAGGCCTAGTCTACAATGTAAGTGTAAGATATGAGATGAGTGCAATGGCGAATAAGGCACAGGGGCGCGCGAGAACGACCAGCGATCAATAAATACTGAACTTCACTGGGCGTTGAGCATAAACAATTAGATTTTATTCATATCCCCATAAGTCATGCAAGCAATGGGCAGGAGGAGGATAATGCGGAGAAGAGCAAGAGGAATGAAGTAGACGATGGGGAGGAGGCACAAGCAGATGAGGAGAGGGAGAGAAAAGACGGGAGAGAAAAGAAGAGGAGGGGGAGCAGGCGAGGAGGACGGTTGGAAGTGCGGACGGTGGCGACATGGGGGAAAATGGGACGAGGAGGGGAAATACTGTATGAAGATCGAAGAGACGACGAATAAATTAGAAGGCGGTTTGGAAAGACACGAAGGAGAGGAGGACGAGAATGGATTACAGGAACGTGGTGATTAGGAAGAAAAAATAACATGGTCAGAGAAAAAGGGTAAGAGAGGAGAAGAGAGTGGAGAATCAGACACCGGAATAATGCTCGTTTTCTGTACAGGACCGTAAAGTTTTCTTTTAATGTATGCGCTTTTTAAGCTGTGTACCTAGTCATCGGACTCACCAGCATTTCCGTTGGCAAAAGCTCCGTTAACAGTGACTATTATGGTTTTGTCACTTAAACATTTACTCTGCAAAGCTCTTAAACCCTTCTCGATAAATGATGGCTTTTTGCGGCTGAGAGCCTAACCGATGTGAGCGTACAACAGATTTGCTCAAATTAGGATCTTGTCATTCAACCTCCGCGTTTTGAGGTCAGAGGGCAAAGTACATTCACCGACAAAACGAAAGTTTTGACGCACACACATCATGCTCCACCCTGGTGTCGCGGCTACGCATGGAATAAAGTTAGCGATGGTGCGTGCTTTTTGCTGATCACGACATGGTCTTTTCGCGAGACGAATGAGATAATTTAAAGGTTCACGAGTGGTTTTCAGCAAAGGCACTACTGGTTTGTGTCACCCTTGAGATATTGCGTTAAGGCATCGAAAATTCAATTACTAACGGATGCACGAACATGCGTAATACTGCAGAACATTAAAATGCCTCTTAATCCAGCTGGGCATAATTGAATTTCCCGACAAGCAGCCCTCGCATGAGTCGATTACACCACTGTAGGCGAGAAAGCCCGACAAATTTCAATGACTGTTTTCGAGACCGCACTCCTACAGATCCCCAAAAGGCAACAACATTAATAAGGCGCTTTTGTGCTACAAGAGACTGAGAGAACAGTCAGTAAGTGAGGCCTTTACCAGACAATGTTAAACGGGGTCTCCACATCCGCTTACGATTTATTGGTCTTCAATGGTTCGCTTTAATTCATTTCCAAAGCAGAATAAAAGCGGAGGTGCAATGAGGATCAGTTAACTTAGTAGCACACGTTCGGATCAAATGTTTTACTATAAAAAGGAGTAGCCTTCACGACTGCACTCTCGTTGCACAAAAATAACGAATAAGCTTTAGACGATGAGGAGTCAGTAGAACGAGGAGGGGGAGGAGGGAGGGGGGTGGGTGGAACAAGAGGAGAAAGATGTGAAAGTAGGGCATTAGGATTAAGGAAGAAAGCAAGAAATATCGCCAATGAAATTGAGCAGATGTCTGTAAGTATCATCAGTTATGTTTTATCTTTAGCCTTTTTGTGCTGTATTCTCTAGATTTACTGCAAGACAAGCTTCCCATAGCAGCAGGGATGATCTACATTGCATCCAAAATGCGCGTAAGCTTAATTAGGGATTTTTTTATGTCCGACAATTGACAAAAAACTGACCGAATATCACGGCATATTTGTTTACCGAAACAAATCTCCCAAAACTGTGTGGTGGTTTGGAAAGTGACCGACTAAGTCAATGCGTAAAGAAGTAATTGCAATTCAAACAAGGTTAGACTGAACTACACGTGCCACGGAGTCGCACGAGTGCTGCGGCATTTATAGGATGCAGTTGCTAATCTACTGTAGGCATATCACAATTGGCGGGCCTCACATTCATCGCAGATGGTCGCAATTGGTGCGATAGTCGCCTCATTGCCGCATCAATCATCAATTATCCAAGACAGCTTGTGACATTTTCTTCCCCATCACTTTTAAGCGTCCGGAATTGCATTTGTGAAAATGGCGTCCTGGGAGGTTTTACTGTAGTTGGTTGACATTCTGACAATCTTGAAGATGTCCGCCATTTGTATATGTAGTTCAAAGTACCCAAACGACTACCCAAACGACTCTTCTACGGAGACGTCGCGACGGGTTCTCGTCGTCAAGGAGGCCAAATTCGCCGTTACAAAGATACTCTTAAGTCCTCCCTGAAGCGCCTGCACATCAACCCGACCACTTGGGAAGAGCTCGCCCGCGATCGTCCGACATGGAGGAGAACAGTGAAGACGGGCGCTGCCATCTACGAAGCCAACCGCATCGCCGCCGCCAAAGTGAAACGCGAAGTCCGCAAATCACAACTTCGCCCAATACGCAACGCCGCCGCACAACCTCTCCCTACGTGTCCTCGATGTCAACGGACATTCCGGGCACGAATCGGACTTGTTGGACATCTTCGAACCAACTGCACCTCTCGAACTGCTCCAGCCATCGTCCCCGCGCCCGCCTCTTCCTCGTCCTCTCTTCCGCCAACTAACTCTGACACTCCTTCTGCACCACCACCTCCATCCTCCTCCTTCTCCTCCACTGCCCCAGCGGTGGCCGTTCAGGCTGCCGTCTCACACATCGCCAACCACGACACAGCAACCGCAACCACCCCACCTGCCCTCACTGCGACCGCACCTTCATCTCTCACAACGGCCTGGTCGGTCACTTGCGAATCCATCGCACAGAGACTGGTGAACCAGTGCCTGGAGCACCAACCTACACCCACCGCACTCGCCTCCACTGCCCACAATGTCCTCGCACCTTCCGGCATCGCATGGGCCTATTCGGCCACATGCGCATCCACGAGAGCGGAATTGACCGCAGCCTTGACACACCCACCCCGCCGAGCCCCACTCCCAATCCATCACCTTGTGCACCCACTAACCACTCCCCAGCCGACATCGACGCCACCGACCTTACCACCCCTCACTCCCCCCCTTCCTCCTTCACTGCCACAACGACGGCCACTCCGGCGTCTGTAGCGCACGACTTCACCACAGCCGCGCCTGACACAATAACAGGCACAACCCCTGCAACCTCCATCAACAGATGTGAGGGCCCGGACTACATCTGCCCTCACTGCGATCGCACCTTCACTTCACGCATCGGCCTGGTCGGTCACTTGCGAATCCATCGCACAGAGTCTGGCGAACCAGT